GAGGGAAAGAAAGGGAAAGAAAGAGGAAGAAAAGAAAGAAAAAAGAAAAGTAAAGAAAAGAATTAATTTAGACCCTAGGATATATTTTTGAATAAGGATGTAAAACTAGTAAAACATGCTGAGAAACTTCCTCACACACTAGAAAGCAAATTCAAATTTGTCACTTAACTAATAGCCTGAGAGATATAAAGGACTTTAATCTCTGACGCAATTCAAAATTCAAAATGCAATAAAAGATGACCAGTTATTATACATAGCTCTCAAGATGTATTAATAGAAGCCATTATTATCAAGACTGAAGAAGTCATCTAATACTTCATCCCTCTATTCATATCACCACATGATATTTTCAAGAAACACACTGATCTCCCTCCAATAGGTCTTCTAGCTTTCTGAAAAAGTGTAAGCAAGAACAGTATTCTTAATCTATGTCAAGCCCAATTCCTGAAGTCTATCTGGACCAATAGGCTTCCTCTCTCAATCTTCTTTGAGCTAGCTATAAGTATTTCAACTTTCCCCATAAGGCTTTTAAAGCCAACAGTCATGAAATGTGCTTTCTTAGATAGATTTGAAGGACAAGGACTCAAATCATCCCACGCAGCATTTGTTTCTATGTTAAGCAATGTGTATGTATACATGTGTATAGACATTAATATAAGTGTATATATAAATTGAACTAATTCCTACTAAATGGGGGAAAGACCAGTTTTAATTGATAAAAGGTAATTATTACATTCTTAAATATGTAAAATACCTCAATTTTAGTTGTACTCATAATTATTAATAGAAAAACTACTTTCACAAAAAGATAAAAAGAGCTGGTTAATGGCCTATTATAGATAAAACGAGTGAGTTTAAAGAACACAGTGTGGTACTCGCAGGGTTTTCTAGAAGAATGCTAGAACATCTTTCAAACATACATGTATAGAAAAAATATATTTTTTTACCAATGTGTTTAGTGAATCCTTTATTTACTGACGGTGAAAAAAATTTTAATGTAGGAAGAAGAGTCCAAAATAATGAGATTTTACTGTATAACAAACTTAATTTTTTAAAAAACCTTATAAAACTATATTAAGCTATTCCCCCTCTCACATGCATTATAATAATGATCAACCTTTTTTTCAACTAGAATCAAACCTAAAACAGAGGCTAATTACTTACAGCAACTATTTTGTCATTCACTTGAATGTGGCCATTGTGGTACGCAGCACTGCCAGGTATTATACTTTTCACATAAATCCCTGAAGGTTCCCCTTAAGGTGCACAGACATACAGAAAAAGGAAGAAAATTCTAATTAGGCCTTGATTGCAAAATTTGTATCAAGAGGTTAATTAGCTAACGGGGTTGACTGGAGGTTTGATAAATACTATTTTGAACACAAGCAGAGAAATTGATGGATTATTTCAAACTGTCACCATCTCAAGTGACCCGAATTTGAAATGATTTGACTGATGACTACTCTTCTGGAAAAATTATCAGTAATGGAACCCTGATGAAATGTACTCTAATTTAAGCTGGAATTCAGGAGAGCCCAGAGTAAGTCTGACTCTCTCTTAGTCTGTCTCTACTCTTATTACTGATGTGGCATAACACTTCATCATTTTTTTTTTACCATCACTATGACAAGAGTCTCCTAGGTCTTCCTGCCTATATTTAGATCACTGCTCATGTTAGCTTCACAGACACAGAAATAAGAAAACTATATATGATCTTTCTGTTTGTTTTTTTTTTTTTTGAGACGGAGTTTTGCTCTTGTCGCCCAGGCTGGAGTGCAATGGCACGATCTCAGCTCACTGCAACCTCCACCTCCAGAGTTCAAGCGATTCTCTTGCCTCCTAAGTAGCTGGAATTACAGGTGCCCACCACCACACCCAGATAATTTTCATATTTTTAGTAGAGATGGGGTTTCACCATGTTGGTCAGGCTGGTCTCGAATTCCTGACCTCAAGTGATCCATCCACCTAGGCCTCCCAAAGTGCTGGGATTACAGGTATGAGCTACCATGCCTGGCCCAGAAAAGCACATATGGTCTTAACAACTAAAAAAAAAAATTAGTGGCTGGGTGCAGTGGCTCAAGCCTGTAATCCCAGCACTTTGGGAGGCCGAGACGGGCGGATCACG